AAATCTCTCTCTCTCTCTCTCTCTCTCTCTCTATATATATCTCTAAAGTATATTCCCATTTATATTTACTAATATTTACCAATATATTTATTCCCATTTATTATTTATAAATTTTTTAATTTGTTTTGAGTGGCCAAGGACTCTCTAAGGACAATGCAGAAAATAGTTGAGTCTTTGGGTGAAAAAGCCTAAAAAAAAAAAAAAAAAAGGTTTGGGAGGAGCTAGTTCATCTAATCCTGTCGATTATTATGCAAGAGTATATAAACCGCTGATTGCCTCACTATTGTGACAGTTCTTCCATGTGTTGAACACTACTGTATTTTCATTTCTTCTTTTCTAGTCTCTCAGGAGTTTAGATAGCAAGCTAAATCTGATTTCCTTTGTCATACTCAAAGACTACATGCATTTGTGAACTGAAGAACATGAAGACTTTTCTTGCTCAGGCTCCCTGACACTGGACCTCTTGAATGTGATCTGTAGTTAAAAGTGTATTTGTGCTATGAAGGGGTCCCCCAAGTGACACTGAGGTGCTCTTAATGAATCCAACATCAACATAAAAAACAGTGTTCTGGATCATTGTGAAATAAAGTACAAACAGGAGAAAAAAACAATGAACCTGAAGATTTGACTTTAGACTCAGACTACTCAGGACGGGTGAAGCAGATCATTGGTAAATACGAATCAGAACTCACAATATCAGACGTGAGAGAGAGAGACTGGAGAATATCAGCTCATGTTCATGAAGGATGGAGTTAAACATCTCAGCCCAGCAGCCGTCAGTCTAACAGTCACAGGTGAAACTGAGTTGAGATTCTGGTCACTTCAGCTGTTTTTTGCCTGATTCTCATCCTGGTGTGTCTCTTTGGCAGCAGCTCTAGCTGGATGTGAGTAAGTGATTTGTACTTCAAAGGCTGTGTGCTGAAACCTTACCAAGTGCAGTCTTTAAATCGTACCCCTGTTGATTTTTTAATGATGTCTTCTGATGCAGTTAAAAGAAATACATTAATTTACATATATATTATTATTTTCAGCTTATGATTCTGTCATTAAAGTTTAAGAAGAATATACAAATAAACACAGTGTTGGTAATTTATGGGAAATCAAAGTTTTTCCAATAACTACACTTAAAAATGAAGGTTCTTTATAGGCATTTATGGTTCTTAGCATCCATGCAATCTTTCCATTGAACAAAAGGTTCTTCATAGTGAAAAAAAGTTGATTTAGATTATTAAAATGTTTCTTTTAAGAACTGTTTCTTGTTGTTAAGAACTGGTTCTTCTGTGGAATTGCTGCGAAAACCCAATTTTGGAACCATTATTTTGAAGAGTGTACAGCACACATGAACACCCGGCTTTATTTAGACTAAAGACAATAAGTGACTTCATTTTCAAGAGTTTCTTTTAGACAAAAGGACGGAAATAAGACCAGAAGTGTCAATGTGTCTTCTAAAACAGGCAGTAGAAACGGCAACTAACATCAGAGAACTTGTAAAACAACAGTATATAATGTACGTATATCTAATCTTTTCACTTAAATGAAGCTTTACATTAAAATGTAGTTTTAAGCATCTCTCTGAAATTATTGTAGTCCTGATTTTGGTAAGACTTTATTTTACAGTGTCATTGTTACACGTTAGTACACTAGTAATAACAGTAAATTATGCATAATTACATGCAATAACCCTAAAGCAAGCCCTAACTCTTACCCTATAGTCAGTACATGTTGTTAATTAATATTCCTCATTACTTAAACAATTAGACTGTAACAAGGACATAAAATGTAACCCTGATTTTTTTTTCATGAACTATAATAACAGACGAATTAAGTGTCAAGCGTGTTAGAATGAAGCTCAGTGAGTGTCTTTTGTCTTTCTTCAGGACGAGCATCTCTGTGTCTTTCACTGTATATGTTAATTTACACAAAGTGAAGATCATGAACTCCAGACTCTCACCGCTGATCCTGCTGCTGCTCATTCCAGGTTTGAGCATTACTGTGTGTTTTTGGATTATAGTTTTGTTGTTGTCCAAAGTAATGAAGGAAGATTGTAACGTCTAGGTCTAAGTTTGTAAGTGAATTTTATTATGACATGATTTCTTTACTACAAATGCATTATGATATTTATTTACAGATTTATTCAAGGATATACACTGACATGCTTAATATTTAGATTGTCAGCTGTAAAGGGCCATACTGTGAAATGCAATATAGCTGAATGAGTTACTTTTATTTTCATTTTACACTGGTTAGTGTAATTTAACTTGCCACACTGTTCTCTAGTTTAGAGGGAGGATTTTCCATTTATGCTTCTTAAAATAAAATAAAAAGGAGTGGGTGTACAGACAAATGTAATATTTACTAAACTGAGTGCTGTGATTTGGGTGGGTGTGGACAGCAGATTGGGGAGGAGACGTTTGAGAACTATTTGCATTCTTTAGTGTGAACACTGGATTGTGAATCTCTCCTCTGTTTGTATACTTTGTCTCAATAACACCATGTTTTCTTCTTTAGGCTCTATAACATTGGACCAGCTCTCTGTGACCTGTAGTCAACAGAGTATTTGTGCTGTGGAGGGGTCAGGAGTGACACTGAGGTGCTTTTACTTCAAAATCAACAACACAACTGTGTTCTGGTTCAGCGAGAAACAAAGTACAAACTGGAGAAAAAACAATGAACCTAAAGATTTGACTTTAGACTCAGACTACTCAGGACGGGTGAAACATCACATCTCAAGCAGCCATTCAACACTCACAATATCAGACGTGAGAGAAAGAGACTCTGGAGAATATCAGCTCATGTTCATCATGGAGGATGGAGTTAAACATCTCAGCTCAGCGGCCGTCAGTCTTACAGTCACAGGTGAAACTGAGTCGAGATTCTGGTCACTTCAGCTGTTTTCATTTGATATGTGATGAAGTTTTCTTAATTTTTACTCTATTCAGTCTTGCAGGTGAGAGTGAATCCTGCGTCTACAGACCTGAGAGATGAGACAGTAGAACTGATCTGTGATTCTTCCTGTGATTTGACCTCTGGAGTTTGGTATTACTGGATGAAGAATAGACAGTATTTAATATATACACAGTCCCCCAACATGTCTGTGTCAGTCAGCAGAGATGCTGGCAGCTTTTCCTGTTCTCTTTATCCACATCGTGAACATCCCTCCTCTTCTGTGTGTGAGTGTCAAATAATAAACAATATTACCCTTGCAAAAATTAACCATGGTTTTACTACAAATAAAAGTTTAACCATGGTATTTGTAGTAAAACTGTGGTTATACCAGTAGCGAACCATGACTCTTGAGCCTAGGCCCTCTCCCCCTACCCTTGTCAGGGGAAAAAACTACCAGCCTAGCTTACTGTGTCCTCTTCTAAAAGTCATCTTTAACAATTCCACCATTTAGAATCAGCTCTGGGGCGGAGTTTGCACTGAAGTGGATTGGGGGGAAAAATTGCGCATGCGTGTCATGTGCCTGTCTGTCAATGGGAGGAAGCTACGCCCTATTTTGGAGCTCCTACCCCGTTTTGGAGTTCCCGCCCCCATTTGGAGATCTCCAGGCTGCAGTTATACCCTTCTCGCGCCACCGGTGAACTGACCGCGGATCCCAACTCCGGGCGCTGTTCATAATCCAGCCGCGCCACAGAACGCCTCAGCACCACTCACATAATTTTGCATTCAATTACATTATATTTGTCCCAAATTATTGTTAATGTACATAATGACTTCATCTTAGGTTGGAAGATTGTGTAGTGTGCATTTTTCAGCAAAACGTTTGTCTTTCTGTGGCTCTAATAAATTCCGTGATTCATTGCGCTATAGATCACAATTTCTCATCCTGTTTGCTGTGTTTCCGATCCCCGAACTTTAAACTCATTGACACCACTTGTCTTGCTCATTCTTGAAGTTACGTTTTGACTGTTTGGGGAATAGATTAAATATTTTGGACTGCCGTCTTGAACTGACGGTCTGGCCTGACCACTGTGCTTCTCGTCCGATGTGCGACCGCAACAAAACAGCACAGCGAGAGTGACTGATATTACCAAAATAAAACAGCTACATTTAAGTCATCCAAATCCTCATGACAAACAAGCAGTATTTATAATAAACAATATTATTATTGGCACAGCGGCCCAGTAAATGTCCTTACTTACGTTATTTGCGGCTTCCATCGTGACGTGAATAGTTAGTTTATCAGCGTAATTGTTTTTTCGAGAGAGAGATCCCCACAGCCGGCAGAACTTGTCATAAAGTTAGTGATAACAAGGCCCACCCATTTAGAGGAAAGATATGATTGATAAATTTTTCTGTCATTCGAAATTACTCCCCCATTGATTTACTATTGCTTGGCCCTCTGTAATTTCATAGCTGGACCTCCAATCACAGAGCCGCAGACGCTATAGGTGGAAACATTCAAATATGGAGAAAATGGGCGGCGTTCATTAGCCCATAGGGAAAAATCCATTTTGGATTATCGCAAAAAATAAGCTCTGTGTTCAATCATAGTTCATGAAACTTACACGTTTTGTCCATCAAGATAATCTTCATAAAATAATATAACTTTGATGAATTTTGAAGCCTAAATAAAAGCGCCAGAACTTAAAAGCTAAACTTAGGCTACAAACAAACTACAGCACCACGGTCGCTCGCCATCACCACGCTTCCGACAACTTTTTCAAACTAATTTTTAACGTGTTCAGTGAAAAGGATTTACTCTGTACATAAATTTTAATCCACGCTACATGAACCTTTTCATATAAACTGGAATAAATACAAAACTAGCCAAACTAAAACGGAAATGAGACATTAAGAATAAATAGTATAGTGAATAAAAGAAATAATCATAACTAAAGGACATATGAAAGCACGTATTTCTGTACATTTCGAAATAAGGTGCATTAAAAGTCAATAAATCCTTGACTAATATGAATATTTTAATTAAAAACGTGTCTCCACATACTATTCAATAAAATTCTAGTGCATTTAATCTATTAAATAACAGCAGAGTGAGCGAGTTTTTGGATATGGTAAGATTAAGCTTATTTTATTGAATAAAGTATCAGATTTCAGCTTTGTTAGGGTGGGTACACAAAATTTTATTTTATCCTTGCTTCTAGGAAATCTTCATATGCTTTCTAACAGCTTCATGTGGCCGTAAACATTTAAATTTAGCGTGGCTTTCAGCACTATGCATCGTTAAAGTTTCACTTTCACCGTGACTAAACCGGTAAATGTGGTGTTTACATGGAATAATCGTAATATGAGTTTACCCTATGAACCCAGAGTCTCCGCATCAGTAGGAAAGCGATAAAAGATGATGTTTTTCAAATTATGAATTGCTTAAATAAAATTAGTAATAATTATTTTTTTTATTAAAAATATTATATTTTAAAACATTTATTTAACAATTGTAAAGATTGTTTTTACAATAAGTTAGACGCTCTCTGAGGGCCTAGAGGGCCCTGACGGTTCCCCATTGGGTTATACAAATGGTAATCAATATGCAAAAAAACCATGGTTACTACACTTTTACTATAATAAAACCATGGTTAATTTTCGTAAGGGTAATAAACAATATTTATATACTGTAGCTATAAATTGAATAGCATTGTGATTTTGTTTAATTATACATGAATTTTGCATGTTAATCTGTCTCTTTCAGGCATTTCTAAGAGTGGCTGCTGGGATGTGACTTACACCTCTAGAAGAGTCTGTGCTTCGGTGGGCTCAACAGTAGACATTTCCTGCACATACTCACATCCCTCTGGTTCTACTGTATATAAAACATTCTGGCATTACGCTCGGCCTGGTGACTTTAAGGATCTGCGTGAGGAGCATCAGTTTGCTGGTCGTGTGGAGTATGTGGGGAACAAACTGAGAATCAAAGAGCTCAAGATCAGCGACTCTGGAGAATATCGATTCAGGTTCATCACTGACTTAGATCAATACTCTGGATCACCTGGAGTCATTCTTACTGTTACAGGTAACTGATCATAATGAATTTGATCACAGTAGGAAAGCGATAAAACGAGCATCTTCCATATGAAGACTTGTGTTGCATTTCGGGGCAAAACAAAAAAACATCGTCGACCAACAATATAAAATGCGGGAAACTATTAATTGGTTATTCTACAATTAATTGTATTATGACTGGAAAATACTGTAAATTGATCAACTGTTCGGCGTGATCATGTTTAATATCTCCGACAGCGCCTGTAGTCCCATTTAGCAACTTGCTAGCAACCGTCTTTTTAAAGAAACGTAACAGTTTAAAAAAAAATCACGAGCGGAGTGTAACTGGTGTGTTTTATGTCGTAGAATAAAACGTGAAAATATTTTGAGCCTGTGTCAACCATGGACCTTATTTTAGGGATTTAACCAAAATCCCATTCAAAAAACCCATTTACTCTGGGACGATGGAACCGGAAGTGCTAAAATGCTAACTCGCTTTCGGGTTTTTGCCTACAAAGTGACATCATAGTTCCACCCCTCTATATGCAGATTTGAAGAGGTTGTTTTTTCCCCACAGAAGTTGTATTTATTTTATTTAGATGATGTTTTTCAAATTATGAATTGCTTAAATAAAATTAGTAATAATTATTTTTTTTATTAAAAATATTATATTTTAAAACATTTATTTAACAATTGTAAAGATTGTTTTTACAATAAGTTAGACGCTCTCTGAGGGCCTAGAGGGCCCTGACGGTTCCCCATTGGGTTATACAAATGGTAATCAATATGCAAAAAAACCATGGTTACTACACTTTTACTATAATAAAACCATGGTTAATTTTCGTAAGGGTAATAAACAATATTTATATACTGTAGCTATAAATTGAATAGCATTGTGATTTTGTTTAATTATACATGAATTTTGCATGTTAATCTGTCTCTTTCAGGCATTTCTAAGAGTGGCTGCTGGGATGTGACTTACACCTCTAGAAGAGTCTGTGCTTCGGTGGGCTCAACAGTAGACATTTCCTGCACATACTCACATCCCTCTGGTTCTACTGTATATAAAACATTCTGGCATTACGCTCGGCCTGGTGACTTTAAGGATCTGCGTGAGGAGCATCAGTTTGCTGGTCGTGTGGAGTATGTGGGGAACAAACTGAGAATCAAAGAGCTCAAGATCAGCGACTCTGGAGAATATCGATTCAGGTTCATCACTGACTTAGATCAATACTCTGGATCACCTGGAGTCATTCTTACTGTTACAGGTAACTGATCATAATGAATTTGATCAACAGTGAATGATAAGATTTTAATGCCACCAATGGTGGGAAACTGTTCACAGACAGACTACAGCGCCATTATATCAAGTTTTTATTTTCCATGTCACTCAAATTCACTGTTAAGCTCAGCTTTATAGTACTTTAATTCTGTGCTTCAGATACACAGGTAACAAGAAACCCAGACATTATATCAGAGGGACAGGAAGTGACATTAATCTGTTCAACTAAATGCACTCTGAACAACAACACCTCTTACATCTGGTACAAGAACAGACGACAGGTAACGGATGGATTCACTAAAGCTAACAAGCTGTACCTGGACTCAGCCAGCAATGAAGATCTTCACCAGTATTCCTGTGCTGTAGAAGGTAACACATCTCTCATGATACATGTGCTTCAGTGTGAAATGTTTGATGAGTTCAGGTGGTTTCTCTGATAGTCTTGATTCACTTCTTTGTGTTGTGAAGATCCAGTGGACAGCACAGCGTTCAGCCATTATACAGTCACTCTGCTGGTGTTTTTACCTCAGTTTCTCATAATAGTGGCTCTGTGGATGTGGTGAGTAAAATATCTAGTTAAATTTTTGAATCCATGACATACAGTGAATATATTGAAATTAATTAAGATTTTCACCAAAACAGGTTTTTCATCAAAATGCGTCTCATTTCAAAACCAATCCGAAAAAAAAGGGAAGGTGAGAAATTATTTTTATAGAGAATCTGCTATAATATAAAAGATGCAATGGCAGCAACATTGGTTTAAATGTGTTTAATGTCTTTGTATTTGTCTGTCTCAGAATCTGATGTTCCACATCTGTACATCTGCTGTCTGTCCATCAGAGCCGCTGGGGTGATGTCATTGTGTTCTTCCATTGTGACATCATCACCTAGCAACAGTCAGAACTGTCAGCAGCAACATCAGTGATACTGTGATGTCATAGACAGTGACATATGACTGTCAGTCTGCATAGTCTAATGATCAGATTTATTCATAGTATGAGCCTTTCTTCAGATTTCAAACTGTTTATTAACAAAGTCTCTTTCTCTCTCTCTCTCTCTCTCTTTCTTCTTCAAAAAAGCATTGAAAATATCTGCCAAAAAAAATCTGAGTTTTGGTCTTTCATTTCTCTTCCTTCAGCTAAATCTAAGAAGCACTATTTTATTCTATTTTTAAAGATCATGTAAGGTTTCACCTTAAGTGAAGGAGTGACTGTTCTGTTCTGTTTATTTTTTATCTTATTTTTTCTTTATTCCGGTATGAGTGCATACTTTCATATTTTATATTTCAAGACTCATATTTTTATATTTCAGACTTTCTATTTAAGACTTGGTAGAGTTACTTCCATGATCTGTGAGTTCCTGAAAAGACAGCGCCACCTTTTGGTCAGGAAAAAAATAAATAAAAAAAATAAATATATATATATATATATAAATCTGCTCATAACCAACAGTATAATAAATAACGTGTTCTGAAAGTATCCTAGCAGTTTGGAGACAGCGACATCTAGTGAACTGTTTGTGTTTGCTACAAATATCTCTCTGCCGGACACTCATCTTAGTTTGTCTGTTTGGCTGCAGGTTTAGCTGAATGTGGCACCGTGGATAAAGCTCCTGATAATCATAAATTGTGTGTTGAACCCCACCTAGCGCAGTCTTAGACATGTACTTCTGTTGACTTTTGAGTCTAGGCATTGTGCTACTTAACCCTTGTATGGTGTTCGGGTCTGTGGGACCCGTTTACATTTTTTATCAAAAGAAAAATGATATGATTAATTGTTTTTTCAAACTCAGACTCATTAGCCTTGGCTCATTTTCTGTGAAGAACATAAATCAGAACAAATTTTCAATGAGCACTTACTGTACTCCTTCATACTGTACTAATTCATAAATGTGCTCTAACAAAGTAAAGGGCAAATATTATCCATGTATGCTTTTTATATTGCTTGTAATTGGGATGAAGTAAACATCTGTTGAGTATTGTTGAATTAAAAACCCAAAAATGCAGCAGGTCCTCCAGACCCATGAACACTGGCTGAATAACAAAAGTATGAACACCACACAAGGGTTAAATTTAACACATTTTTAGGACCATTTGATGTTTGATATTTACTGTAGGTCAGAGAAAAACAACATAATGAAACATCCTGTCTTCTAAGATTGATCTTGTTGGTTATTGAAGATGTGTCTGTTGCTGCCTGTGATAGGCTATCCCATAATCCTGTGCCTATAAAAATAAATAAAATGGCATCTTATGGTGCAGTTGAAAGTAAATTAATATATAAACGTATGTGTGTTTGTTTCCTTCAGCTTATGATTCCCAGTTACCAAAGTTTTTGCGGGAAAAATGATCAAACATAATATTTGCCTTCAGTTTATGCTGCTTACATCATCAGCACAACCTTCACTACTGGCAAATTTCCCACCGCATATAAACAGACTGCCCACTGCTCAGAAGCCAACGCTTAAAGCAATAGTTTACCCAAAAACGAAAATCTGCTGAAAATATCTATTTAGATTTTGTTTTGAAATTACTTATAGAAAATAACACATTACTAATCGAAAATGACAAAATATTTCAAGGTTTGATTAATAAGCTCAGCTCATAAGTCCTGAGTTCAGTTTGACCGTAAACGTTTTCTGAAGAGTAAGCATCCCCTTTCTCTGACAAAAAAATTAAATAATATAAATAACTAAATTTTTTGCCCTAGTGTGTCAGTAAGAAACAGGAAGGAAGTAAAGTCAGCAGAAAGTCTGCAACTACTTATACAACAGACAGTAGAAACAGCAACTAACATCAGAGAACAGCAACATGTAATGTAGGTAAAGCTAATATTTGATCGCATTTAAAATGTCATCTTAAGTAAACTGTTACTGTTTTCATGATTTTAATGGGGTAGCATGAACTAAGATAACAGACTGATGAATCTTTTAAACTGCAATGACCCTTCAAATCACAGTGAAACTCAATGAGTTTCCTTTTTCAGGACGAGCAGCTCTGTGTCTTTCATAGTTTATGTGAATTTACACAAAGTGAAGATCATGAACTCCAGACTCTCACCGCTGATCCTGCTGCTGCTCCTTCCAGGTTTGAGCATTATTGTGTGTTTTTCTCCTCTGTAAGGTTTTCGTTTAAATGTGTCTCCAATTATCTTTGAAATTTTCCGAGAGTGGTTATTTTGATTTATTTTGATCATTATTGCTCTGTATTTTCAAACAGTTGAATTTATTTAAGATCAGTTTAACTAAATGTCTAGTAGGGCTGAACGTCAGTCTGAATTTTGGTCTAAATTAACTCTTTATTTTTATTCATTAAAATGGATTGGTCGTATACATATATTTCAGAAGCAGATTCATCAATCTGGATGCACTATTATTTTAGTAATATTTGCTATTACGAACACTGGATTGTTGCAGTAGAGGATCTCTCCTCTGACTATGTAAATTTCATCGCAATAACATTTTCTTGTTCAGGCTCTGTAACATTAGACCACCTCGCTGTGACCTGTAGTCAACAGAGTATTTGTGCTGTGAAGGGGACAGAAGTGACACTGAGGTGCTCTTACTTCAGCATCAAAATCAACACTGTGTTCTGGTTCAGTGAGAAACAAAGTACAAACTGGAGAAAAAACAAAGAACCTGAAGATTTGACTTTAGACTCAGATTACTCAGGACGGGTGAAGCAGATGGTCACAAACGACCATTCAACACTCACAATATCAGACGTGAGAGAGAGAGACTCTGGAGAATATCAGCTCATGTTCATCATGGAGGATGGAGTTAAACATCTCAGCTCAACGGCCATCAATCTAACAGTCACAGGTGAAACTAGATTCTAGTCACTTCAGCTGTTTTCATTTGACACGTGATGAAGTTTTCTTAATCTTTACTCTATTCAGTCTCCATTATATCAAGTTTTTATTTTCCATGTCACTCAAATTCACTGTTAAGCTCAGCTTTATAGTACTTTAATTCTGTGCTTCAGATACACAGGTAACAAGAAAACCAGACATTATATCAGAGGGACAGAAAGTGATATTAATCTGTTCAACTAAATGCACTCTGAACAATTCTAGTCACTTCAGCTGTTTTCATTTGACACGTGATGAAGTTTTCTTAATCTTTACTCTATTCAGTCTTGCAGGTGAGGATGAATCCTGCGTCTACAGACCTGAGAGATGAGACAGTAGAACTGACCTGTGATTCTTCCTGTGATTTGACCTCTGGAGTTTGGTATTACTGGATGAAGAATAGACAGTATTTAATATATACAAAGTCCACCAACATGTTTGTGTCAGTCAGCAGAGATGCTGGCAGCTTTTCCTGTTCTCTTTATCCACATCATGAACATCCCTCCTCTTCTGTGTGTGAGTTTCACATTATACACACAGTGTGGTGCTGTTTGTTCATACATGTGTATATTTAAACAGATACATTTAAACTGTGAGTTTTGCATGTTAATCTGTGTCTCTTTCAGGCATTTCTAAGAGTGGCTGCTGGGATGTGACTTACACCTCTAGAAGAGTCTGTGCTTCGGTGGGCTCAACAGTAGACATTTCCTGCACATACTCACATCCCTCTGGTTATACTCTATATAAAACATTCTGGCATTACGTTCGGCCTGGTGACTTTAAGGATCTGCGTGAGGAGCATCAGTTTGCTGGTCGTGTGGAGTATGTGGGGAACAAACTGAGAATCAAAGAGCTCAAGATCAGCGACTCTGGAGAATATCGATTCAGGTTCATCACTGACTTAGATCAATACTCTGGATCACCTGGAGTCATTCTTACTGTTACAGGTAACTCATCATAATGAATTTGATCAACAGTGAATGATAAGATTTTAATGCCACCAATGGTGGGAAACTGTTCACAGACAGACTACAGCGCCATTATATCAAGTTTTTGTTTTCCATGTCACTCAAATTCACTGTTAAGCTCAGCTTTATAGTACTTTAATTCTGTGCTTCAGATACACAGGTAACAAGAAAACCAGACATTATATCAGAGGGACAGAAAGTGATATTAATCTGTTCAACTAAATGCACTCTGAACAACAAACATACTTACATCTGGTACAAGAACAGACGACAGGTAACGGATGGATTCACTAAAGCTAACAAGCTGTACCTGGACTCAGTCAGCAATGAAGATCTTCACCAGTATTCCTGTGCTGTAGAAGGTAACACATCTCGCATGATACATGTAGTTTAATGCAAAATGATTGTTGCAGTCTGTTTGAGTGCAACTAATCTTAAATTCAGATATGATTAATTTCTGTGTTGTACAGACCATAAGGAGAGCACAGCGCTACGAAACTCTGCAATCGTACTGTGTGTGTTTTTGATTATTGCACTCATAGGAGTCCTGTGGTATAGGTGAGTCAATTTTATTTTAAGTTTTGGGAATAAAACAATTAAAAACAGTAAAATGATGAGCTAAAACAAAGATAAATATTTAAGATTTTCCACTATTTATGTTACAAATAAAATGAAATTGTGAAATATAATTTGATAAATACAATCTGATAATATAAATTGTAACACTAAAATGTATTAAAGGGGTCATATGATGCGATTTCAATTTTTACTTTCTCTTTGGAGTGTTACAAGCTCTTGGTGCATAAAGAAGATCTGTAAAGTTGCAAAGACTAAAGTCTCAAATCCAAAGAGATATTCTTTATAAAAGTTAAGAGTCAACCACACCTACCTAAAACGTGGCCAATCAGAGCACACCTCGCTTTTTCAGACCGATGAGCTTTGTAAAAATCGACGCGTTTCAGAAAGGCGGGGCAAAGAGGAGAAACAATAATGTACAGTATGTAGAAAATAATGTGTTTTTTTAACCTTAAACCGCATAAACACATTTCATTACACCAAATACACCAAATACTGTTCTTTTTAGCAGCATCATATGACCCCTTTAAATTGAGAAAAATCTAAAATAATGGACTCAGACTCGGACCACATAATATGCTATATACTGTATTTAAATGGCTGTTTCTTTAAGGAGGAGAAGGTGTACCTTTTCTAAAACCCACAGGACTGAAAAGGTGGAGGAGGAGGTTCAGGTAAGGATGGCTGACACTAAATTTAATTTTACATATATTTATTTAAAAATGCTGACTTTTCTCTTGCTGGCTGTCCCCCATCAGTATGACCCGGTGCACAATAACACTGCACCCTCTGACCTCACGCAAAAAGCAGATGTGGACAATCAAGACATTCATTATTCCAGCATTAATTTTAAAACAAAACACGCATCTTCAATCCCCACTGATGAATATCCAACAGACACCACAGAAACAGAGACTGTCCACTATGCCACTGTAAGGTTCAAATAACACACTATTGCCCTCTAGGGAGCTAATCATGTTATTGCATTTGGTATATCAAAATTGTATAATTGACTATTGCCCTTGGCAACTGATTTCCTACACTGTGGTTTTCTCATGTATCACTCTATTTAATTGCATAATAAAATAATTGCAGTACAAATCAATATTTGATGTCCATTCATTTGTTTTTTGGTAAGTAGAAATGCAAGAGGCGGGATAATATGCAGTCAGATGCCTGATGCCTCTGCTTCACATCTGATTTATTTTTTTTTAGTTACCATTTTTATATCAGTGTCAAGCACTAAAGTCCAGGTTACCCTGGACTGTCCTGTTAGACCAATGAGCTGGCGGGAGTAATAACACAATTGGTTGGTTCTGCTAAACAACTGGTTAATCATACATTTTGAGATCAGTATTTTGCCAGCAAAAGCTTGACTTTAAAACGGACATGGTGTTTTTGCACAACTGCTGACCATGAGAACTGTTGTCATGGCCTTGACTATAGCCCTTGTGGGTAAGTAGCCTGCAATGCTGTTTTAAATGTCACCATTTGCATGGATAAAAATATCATAATTTGACAAAATAGACACTGTAGGACTTTATATTAAATTAACATGAAACTTTCTCTGATATTTCAGCAAGTCAGCATGTGAATCTTGGTAAGCAAAGTGGTTAATCCTATTCTACTAGTGTGTTTACCAATGGCAAAATAAGATTTTACTATGTGACTTATCTAAAATGCTATTTTGCACTTTTAGTCCCTGATTTGGCAGGCACTCAGACTTATGTGTACAAATATGAGGCTTTGCTCTTCAGTGGTCTTCACCAGGAAGGTCTGGCCAGAGCTGGCATTAAGATCAACAGCAAGGTTTCCATCAGGGCTGTTTCTGAGAATACGTTCCTGCTTAAGGTGCCAGAAGAGTTTAAAGACAACATGGAGCTTTGTTCTGTTACTGACCTGAGATATAATTGAAAAGAAGCACATAATCATTCAAAGTTTGCCTGTTTGTTTCAGCTCTCAAATCCTCAGCTGTTCGAGTACAGTGGTATCTGGCCCACAGATGCGTTTGTTGCTACTAAGCTCACCTCAGAAGTGGCTGCTCAGCTTCAGATTCCTATTAAGTTTGAGTACACCAACGGTGTGGTTGGAAAGGTTTTCGCACCTTCTGTGGTCCCAACTACCGTTATCAACCTGCACAGGGGAATTCTGAACATCTTTCAGCTCAACCTCAAGAAGACCCAGAACATCTATGAGGTTCAAGAGGTGAGACTGGTTGAAATGAAGTTTGATTATCAATAATATGCATCTTGATTTTAAACCTGAGTCTTCATTCTGATGTAGGATGGAGTTCAAGGCATTTGCGAGACCCAATATCTGATCAGTGAAGATGAAGGAAGCAACCACACCACCATCACCAAGTCTAGGGATCTTACACTTTGCAATGAGAGGATAATTAAAGATGTTGGCTTGACTTACATTGAAAAGTGCACTGAATGTCAAAAGGTCAGGTCAAAATGTTCATGTCATATTTTCTTCTCAATGCTTTAGATTCCGGGATTTCAACTGGGGCTTCATAAAGGTACTGCAGAGGGTCTGTTACCTTAAAAAACTCAAATATACTATATAATTTAACAGAGGGTAAAAAGTCTCTCTGGAGCTGCAACCTACAGCTACATCATGAAGCCAACACCAACTGGTGTTATGATTACTGAAGCAACAGTCCAAGAGATTCATCAGTTTACAACTCTATATGAGATTCATGACGCTACCCAGATGGAAACTAGGCAAGACGTTTGCTCATGCACTCTCGTATGGAATTAAGTATATCTGTGTTTTCATTTTTTATGTGGTAACCCAAGTATATACTCAATATTTCAGACAAACCTTGACCTTTCTGGAGATTATGGCATCTCCCATAATTCCAATCAGTGCTGAATATTTAGCCCGTGGAGCTTTACAGTATGAATTTAGCACTGAGACACTTTGGAGTCCAATTCAGCTCATGAGAATCAGTAATCCACAGGCTCAAGTAAGGACATATTTCATATTATTATTATTGTTATACATTAAATATATTGACTGCATTGTTAGGTTTTTATCCTAAATTATAGTAGTATTTTAATTCTCTCTTTTTGTTTTACTGGTATTCGTTAAGGTAGTAGATGCTCTGAATCATCTGGCTACCAAAAAACTGGAAGAGGTCCATGAAGATGTTCCACTGAAATTTATTCAGCTCATCCAGCTTATGCGTTTTGCAAGTCTGGATGCTATTGAGGGAATCTGGTCTCAATTTAAAACCAGACCAAATTTCAGGTACAAAATATTCACTTTAACAGTCTAAAACATTTATTTGCAAATTGTCACTCATTTTTACTCCTCTAAGGAAATGGATCTTAGATGCTGTTCCTGCAGTTGGCACCTTAGCTGCTCTAAAATTCGTCAAGAAGACATTCTTGGCAGGCGAACTTTCCATCCCTGAGTTCACTCAGGTCCTTCTGGCCACTGTGCATATGGTCACTGCTAATTTGGACACCATTAAGACGTACTCTGTGCGTACACTCGTATGTGATGATTGACTCAAAGCTTAAACCACTTATTTAGCATGCCAAATATTGTCTGAACTTGTTCTATAAATGTTATAATCAAAAAAGGGTCTGGCTTTGAGTCACAAAGTTCAAGAAACACCTGTTCTACGTAAGGTTGCCATGCTTGGCTATGGGACAATGATTGCCAGGTACTGCAGTGGATCTCTTGAATGCCCAGTGGAGCTTTTGAAGGTAAAAAAGATCATTCACTAATTGTTTTGCTTGACTATGTGTGGAATGTGGACAACTTCCTCTGTTTTTCAAGCCCTTCCATGAGATTGTTATCGAGGCGACTGCTAAGGCTGACACTTCAGAGATGATTTTGATTCTGAAAGTGCTGGGCAATGCCGGTCACCCTGCTAGCATTAAATACATCACAAAGTTTCTACCAGTATTTGGGAACCAAATACCTCTGTTTCCCATGAGAGTTCAAATGGGTGCAATTTTGGCCCTGAAGGCCGTTGCCAAAAAGGAACCCAAACTGGTTAGTCAGATATTTTTGAGTCATGCTTTGCTTTGTCATTCTGATTGTGAGTTACTTTAACTTTTGTTTCTCAGCTCCTCCCAGAAGGTTTTAGATGTCTCCCTGTTTAAGAAACCAACAAACTGATGAGTTGAATTATGTGTTTTAATTAGTAACACATCTAAAACATTCTGGTATATAGGTCCCAAGGACTGGAGTTAAGAAACACTTGGTTTACGACCCTTACGAAAAAGAAGTTTATTCAAGTGTGCTATTAGTATACTTTTTTTAAACTAAAAATAGGAAAGTATACTTTCAGTCTACTTTTTATGTACTTCTCAGAAATGTGCTTTATGTACTTCTCAGAAATATACTTAAAATTACATTCTATACTTAGAAAAAGTCTAAATATATTTCAGCTATAATTGTGCTCCTAGAATCCGTGTTTTCATTGTTATACTGTAGGGGGCGCTAGTACACATCTTCTGTACAGAATTTCCAAAAAACACAAGTTGAAGAAGAAACCGAAACAACAGATGCTTCCACGTGTATTCTAACACGATCAT